TTCTGATCACAAATGGTCTTCGCTAAAAATGGCTATTAAAAACAAGTCACATTTTCTGATACAGATCAATGCCCTTATGCTATGTAGAACGCTGATTCTACTGATTCCTATACATTCGAGAGGCTCACATACCTGGCCGACTGCATGAAAGTATTCCATGACTCATTGACTGGTAGGTACATTGTGCTCATTTCAAGCATTCCAGCTAATGTCACTGGATGAGGGCAATGATGCAAGAAAAGAGGATAAAGGACTTTAAGAATCTCGTAAGTACACTTGACATCTTGATAGCAGTAGCCCATTAGATCCTAAAAATAGGAGGAAAAGAGAGAGGGGGAGAAAGAGGGGAAGGAAAAGAGATATCCATCATAAACATGTACTCAACTACTTATGTACCTGAAAGTTATCCCTGATGTCACTCGAGTTTCCTTTAATAAAAATCTCAGACAAGCTTTTATCAATTTTCTCTCCTCCACAGTAAAGCTGGTACATGTCAGCCAAACTATTAGGAGAACTAACCTCCATCCATTTCTCTTTAGATAAACGAGATAGTTTTGCTACAGCATCAACTACAAATAAACAAGTAATTGCGATGCAACAACACAGAAACTACTATTCCGACACTAGGGAATATTGTCAATTTGTCATGCAATAGAGTCAAAGTTACATTGTACATGCATCAATAACTTCCTTACAAAACTCATCCTCATTATGGCTTTGTACAAATGCTTTGCTTTCCATTTCTTGCCGTTTTCGCTTCAAAGCCGAACGCCATAACACCTTCTGAGTCGAAGTTTGTCCTGATACGCACGTATGCAAACTTAGTGTATCCAGAAATTTTGTTTTTGGACCCTATAATTAAGAATCAAAAAAATTATGGTAAAAATAATGTTGGCCAATGTTTTGAATTATGTAAGTAGGTGTTGCATGCTGCTATAGGAATTGCTTTATAATTAGCAAGAGACACACTAGTAGCTTATATGACACATGACCTATCATAATACAAAGCTGGAATTGACTTTACCAAAAAAGGTAAAAGTATGACCAACATTCAGACTGTGTGTGATAGGGTTTGGATTATAAACAGGTTATGATCAAAGCACTGTGCAATGTCCACAATTTCATTTGATAAGTGTTTTATTACATCACAAACAAATTTTATAAGTGATCAATTTAAGCAAAATTAATTAGCATTATTGAATATATATAGAGGAGGGATATACAAGCAGAGCTAAAGAAAGGGACATGCAGGTTTCTCACATTGAAAAGATACTGCTCCTTGATCCTTGCTCTATCGTAAGACACATTGTGACCAACAACGATCCTCTCACTCCAACTCTCTCCTCCTTCCAACGGTATCAACTCATCAAAGTTAACCTTTGACTTCTCGGCAAAATCCCGTTCACTAAACAGCCTAGGGCTAACCCAAGAGTATACATTATTAGGAGACATAGCGATGGCTAGTTTAGGGGCGTGGCCTTCAGGCACACACACCTCTACATCAAATATGAGTGCCTTCTCGTCTGGAAAAGGTACGAGTGTAATAGAGCCATCATTAGAATAGCAAGTCCATCCAGGCTTGTAATTCCATTGCGTGGGCGGTGAAGAGAGAGACCCCTCACAAACAAGAGATGCTATCAATGGACGATATGGGGAGACCTGATCTTCAGCTAGTTTGGTAAAATGGCTCAATATGTTTTCCCCAAAAAGTGGAGGGAGGTTGATGTCGATGTTTTCTTGAGTCACTGTGGTTCCACTCCCGTTGGTCCATAGTCCGTGTTCCGATAGATGGGATACGCTCTTATTGATGGCTTCTTGTGAAGGCTCTGTTTGAGACTCAGCCCCAGGGAAAACCTGCTGGTAGAGAGACTTTGAGAGCATCTGCACGCCCAGAGGATTGAATCTCGTTTGATCCGAGAGATTTCTTATAAAGAATCTACAGCCAAACTTGGGGACAGACATATTGACCAGACACGTGGTAGCACGTGTGGATGGAGGGAGTGGCTAGCTCTGAAGTAAATAATCACTGCGCATGCGCAGTAGTATCTGTTATGTCGTGGGTGTATCCTTGAAGTTGAAGATTGAAGAAACAGAACAGAAAGCAAGCAAAGTCTAACCGTAATGGAGGGCATAAAGAAGAAGATAGCTCAACTTAGAGTTGAACTGGACGCAGAGAAAGAAAAGACGGAGAAAGCAGAGAAAGAAAGGAAAGAAGCAGAAGACAGGGCCGAACAGGTAAGCCGCCAATCCCTTCGTTTAATGTAAAAACCGTCTTTTTTTGAAAAGGCCGAGGCAGACGGAAAACAACTGAGCGGCAAGTTAAGAATGCTTGAGGAAGATCTGGAAAGTGCAGAGGATAGACTTAGTGACCTTACTGCAAAGTTCGATGAAAAAGAAAAATTACTGGAAGAGACTGAAAGGTGAGGGGCAGGAAAGGATTCTGAAGAGTACATGTACATTTAGTATGCATTACTTAAAATCTTAATTATTGTCTACTCTTTTTTTGTATTATTATTATTATTAATTTATTTATTTAAAGGGAGCTACGAAAGTACCAATCAGCACAAACTTCAGATGGAGACAAAGTGAGTATAGATTCAGTAATTCACACAAACTGTATGTAGTTTAATAATGGACATGCAAGTGTATTTACCAACCCTGGCGCTATAATGTAGTATGAATTTCATTTGCGTGTAAAGTTGTATGCATAATTACTACTATTATGAGTCTAGCTATTATGATAAGTCTTACCTATTAAATGTTTTGTTTTTTTGTAGCTTGAGACAATGGAGACAAAGCTACGTGTGAAAGACGAAAAATGCTCCGAGTTAGAGAGAGAGCTGGAGGAAGTAAGTTAGAGAAGGTGGGAGAGAGGTCTTAACTTACACTCCTATTATTGATGCGTCTAGTTTATATGAAACCATAACCATAACAACTATAATGTCATTGTTTATCTTTTCTCTTTCCTGATATTATTATTATTATTATTATTATTATTATTGTTATTATTATTATTATTGTAGTGCAAACGAAAGAATAAATTTCTTACTCACGACATTGATGCTGCAGAGACCAAGAATGAAGACCAAGCAAGGTGTGGCCTTAATGAATTTATACATGTATTTGAAAGCATATTTATGATTACTTTTTAATGAGATTTATGCATGACAACACAATGGGATTTACACTTTACCTGAGCATTCAGCATAGCATAATTTTACGGGCATTTTTGTTCTTTGCTTCACAGGAAAATTGAGGATCTTCAAGCCCAACTAAAGGATGCCCATGACTCCCTACAGCAACAGAGAAGGAACGAGAGAGAAGTAAACAGAAATCATTTGTGTTTATTATATTTCAATCCTCTCTTGATAGACTGAGTCAATTGAAGAGAAACTAACATCAGAGAATCAAACCCTAAAGAAGAAACTGGAAGAAGCTGAGAATCAAAATTCTGAGCTTGTGCAGAAAAACAAGAGACTTGAGCATCAAATTGATCAATTAGAAAGTAATTCTTATTTATTAAGCATATGCAGACGATTAGCATTCTATGGGGAATAATTCCAGCAGCTGCACTATTACATTTCAAATTTTTATTGTAACTGTGAGGTCACTACTCATTCTTCCTTCTGTATTTTTTGTAGCTGACCTCGACACAGCTGAATCAAACTTTGAAAAAACAAAGGCAGAGTTGGAAAGTACCCTAGCCGAATTGGGTGACTTGTAATGATTGTGTGAACATCTTATGACAGCTTTACTTGGGCCGGTTAATCAACTGAGACATTTTAAAATTATTATTATTATTATTGTCCTTTTTTTCTTACTATTGCGTCTAATAGACGCTTGATGTAGAGATATTTAAATCTCTCCTTTCTTAGCGACTTAGTCTTTACCATTTTTTCCATGTGCTCAGAATTATTATTTTAGAGATTTATTATTATGAATTAAGAATAATTTTATAAAGCTATAAGCCCGGTGATTCAATATTAGTCTAGTGATTTTTAAAGGGTGTGGTCGAGCGATGCTTGCAACTTGGTGGTGCAATATGAGTTGCATTAAAACCAAGCAGAATTTCACTGATTCTATAGTCTATTGTGCAGCAAAACCAGAACTCCTTCAATGTCTACTGTCTTCACTGCAGCTCCAATAAACGTTACTCTATTCTACGACACAGGCTAAAAGAGAAGGTGGTTTCTTAAGATGTGTGCTTGCTCTCCTTTCCCGGCAACTCCCGCCATTGGCCCGGAGGCCAGCATCAAGTCCTCTACAGCCAGAGATCCTGGCCCAGTCTGCGGACAGTGTGGCGTCCCCTGCAGTCGTCCCAGTGTCATTCGTGAAGAATATTCCACAAAAACTTTATACTGTACTATACAGTGCTATGCTGAGTCACTCAAGAACTTTAAATTTTAAAAAAGACAATTTTTTATTATGATCAACAATAATCATTACAATTATTTTTACTATTACACTGTTAACTTTCCACACACTATTATTATTATTTTAATTATTCTCAAAGTAAAGAAAAATTATTTCATTCACCACAAAGGCAAGAGGGCCTCAGTTTATTTCTTGCTCAGGTCTATGACGGGGCCAGTGTAAGGCTCACGCTCAACCTTTTGTGGCTGATCAACCTAAAAATAAAGAAAAGAAATACTTATACTAGCAAGAACTCGTCATATCATTATAATACAGTACTACAATGAAATGTGATGTAGAGTGACAATTTGCTTGTCATGGATTTCGTGACAATGGAACTAATGGGTTTTTGCTTGTCACGGATTTTGTGACAATCGAACCAATGGGTTTTTGCTTGTCACAAATTTCGTGACAATGGAACTTATTGTTTTTTTTGCTTGTCACGGATTTCGTGACAATGGAACTAATGGGTTTTTTGCTTCTCACTATAGCTTCAATGCACTTGCATTCAGATCACAGCAGCTGAAATAACAACAGCTACAGGTCAATTTTTAGTCCCTAAAACGTCTGTGGAAAAATTCATGCAATATATCACTTTAAATATCTACAATTAGCATGTGTATCACATCCTAATAGTGATGATTATAAATTAAGGAATGATCTCGTTACCACCAAATCCATTAATTCTCACCTTGTCCCTCTGATGGACTCTAGAGTACACAAAGTCGGTCCAAGGCTGACGAGGGATAAACTTGCCACTCCCCTTGACCACGTCTATCTTCCCGTGATCAACGACAACCTTACCACGAGAGATGACATAAACAGGGACACCATGACACTCTAGCCCCTCGAATATGTTAAAGTCAACAGCCTGTGAGAAAGGAAGGAAGGACATGATACAAAAACAAATTTCAATTCAATTATGAATGACAGTGTAACGCATTTGTTTGCATTAGATGTGTACTATTATTACTTGATTACTACTTGTTAATGGTAATAGGAACAATTAGACAGTGTCAATAATACAAATAGGGAGAAAGAAAGAGAGAGAAGACAATGTAATGTACTGGGGAAACAGTGAGAGAATAAGATACATAGATACATAGGACACCTTCCAACAAGCAAGACATTGTATATATCATTAGCATAAATGAAAAATAGCCCTCATAAGCCACTCGTGTGGATTTAATAATTAATGTTTGTTAGCCAGTTAATAAATGTGTATATGATACAAATTTTCAATACAATAATTATCATCAAATATCATTTGATATTACTTATCAGTACTCCACACAGTGTTTGCAAGGAAAGTGTAATAGAACTGTTTGGTGATTACAATCAATACAGATGAAGAGGCTATACCAACTGTAACTATAACAGGACACACACACTCACACACTCACCACACAGACAATGATTCTTCATCACATTTCAAAGACACAAAATAACTTGAGCTTGTTTGTGTTACAAATAGTACATCAATGACACACAAACACATTTAACACACACACACGCTTACAAATGTGGGTATTATGTGTATAAGTGTATGTGTAATGTGATTCTTACCTGATGATGTGTCTTTGCAGATATGACTCTAGTCTGGTCTGGATCCCATACAACAATGTCTGCATCAGATCCTACAGCAATACAACCCTAGAACAAACAATTATCATCATCATCATCATCATCATCATTATTATTATTATTATTATTATTAAATTATCTAATATTTACTTTTCTTGGGTAGAGGCCGAATATCTTTGCAGCTGTTGTTGACGTAACATCAACAAATCGACAAACGTCCATTTTACCAGTATACTATTAAAAAATCATGAGCACACAAACTGAGTCGACTCACAACTCACCACTCCCTTCTCCCAGACTACGGACATCCTGTCCTCTACTCCGTTGACTCCGTTTGGAATGCTACGGAAGTCGTCCTTCCCAAGCGCCTTTTGGTTACCACTGAATGTGCAGTTATCAGTTCCAGTACAATCCAGATCACCACTACATTTACATAATAGCAATACATACAACCAAGAGTAGATGATAGTTAGAGAGAGTGTCGAACTGCACTATGCTAGCTGGAATATGACCGCGTAAAACTTTCTTGCGCATCTTGGGCATTCCCGCATACTGGGTGTGGCTGAGAAGAATAAAATGGCTGCCTAGTTTGCTCAACAAGGTTTACTGGCCGTTTTGGAGTCTCTGCTGTAGCTGCACTGCATAACAGACTTCAGCAGGATTATAAAGTGTACTAGCATGATGTCTAAAGCTTCTTCAAGTGTTCTCCACTGTTCCTTATGCAAACTTCTACACGTGTTTTTAGTAGGTACACCCACGCTTCAGGTCTCACGTGACTTAGTTCTACGCGGTCATATTCCAGCTAGCATAGNGCAGTNCGACACTCTCTCTAACTATCATCTACTCTTGATACAACGAGCAATAAATACAATATCCAATCAATTTATCACAAATTATCAAGTTTACTGATAACGTGTTAATTTTTCAGCTATGGTCTTCTGACCAAAAACTGCTCCCATAAATGTCACAATTTTATTCGCATGTCATTGCTATGACTGCTTTTTAGAAAGTTTGAGCTGATACACAAATATATAAAGTATTTACTTTGCAAGGAGATCCATGAGGTAACCGGGTGTGGTCGTATCAGGACGAAGAGGGGGCCCCATCACATGACCTTCAGATAAAGAAATTTTTAAAAATAAAAATAATAAGCGATTATAATTTTCATGTACCAGCTGCATGACGCCAACACTTGTGCCAGTAGTTAGTCCCGTCGGTTCCAAGACAGGCAGCAATGGGCTCACCAAACACAACAATACCTGACAATGAGAGAGAAGGATGAAGGCCAAGATAGAGAAAGAGGGGGAGAAAGAAAGAGGAGAGAATATGGGAGAGAAACTAAAGGGAGAGGAGAGTGTGTATTTTACCTTTTCTCTTGGCAGCTGAAATCTCATCAGCAGCTGATTTGCTCATAACATGAACCACATACAGAGGACAGCGTGTTTGATTGGCAAGCATGATGGCACGTTTGACTGCTTCGGTCTCAACCTCTTCTGGACGACACATCTCGTGACCTTCGGGACCAGTAATGCCCCTCTCAACCATCTCCTTTGATTTCTAATATATAAATAAATAAATTAACAAATAAACAAATAAATAAATTAATAAAATAATAAATAAATAGATAAATAAATATATATAAATAAAATATTGGTTTGAACTTTGAATACAGCTCCAATTAGTAGTACTATTATTATTATATTATTATTATAATTACTATAGATTGTAAGGTAATTCTGCAATTAGTTCTGTATCAAGCATTACTATTATTGTTAGTAAAATAACAAATCATGATAATACATTTACTAATAATCCTACCACTACCAATACCACTACTACCAACACCAACAAGGTCCAATGAATATATCTCTTGTTACTATCACAAAGAAACAATAAAATTGAAATGGTATTCATGGGAAGAGGTTTACCAGGATGACATGTAAGAATGAACTGTTAGACACACAAGGAATGTGTGTGTGGCATGTTTATGCAATAATAGAAGTATATATATATACATAGAATTACCTTTATGACTTAACAAACAAACTATTCTGTCCTTATTCTCAATATGATGCTACATGGTATACCTGAGCTTCAATTTGGACATACTTGTACTTGTACAAGATGGCGTGTACGTGTACATTAAGGAGTGAAGGAGTACATGTACATAATGTATAGAAACATGCAATAGTCAGAGACTACTCATTCAGTAAGTACAAACATGACATAAGGTAGCATATGGTGGTGTATTAGTATGACATTACAACCGGTAGGTATTCGTAATATGCAGGAAAGAAGGTAAACATGATTCTACTCAAGTTTATCCTTAGATAATAGAGCACAATGATAAAAGCCACCTGTTTTCAATATTAATTTAAGAGAGCTACTTTTAATTAAGCGTTTATAATACCATAATCTAAATTTCTGTGGGTTAAAAATTTTGTTTAAAAAAACTGAGGAACTTAATTCCAATTTCCGACTAAAAATTGCTATTCATTTTTTTTAGTTATAATTACTATAATATAATAATTTGACTAAAACTCACAACAGCGATGAGGTCGCCATTTTCAGCATGAACTTGAGCAAGAGCACCAATTTCCTTACACCTTGCAAAGGCTTGAAGCATCTGAGAATCAGATATAGACGCATCGTCACAGACACGTCTCTAAAAAGCCACACCACTCACCTCATCATCGCGAAGCATGAAGACGTCTTTGTATGCCATAAACATCTTGAAAGAGTTTATACCTTTGAAAAAAAAATTATTAGAATTTGATGCAATTATTACGGGTATAATACTATTTCAACAGAAATTAATTCTATTATTTTTGTTCAAAAGAACAAGTACAGTATTGATTTGCTTTTATAAATTACTTGCACTATAGCTAGTATTAGATACTGACCTTTCTCTTCAACTAGGACTTTCATTTCTTCTCGGACTTGAGGGCTCCACCAGGTCACACCGACATGAAACGAGTAGTCAGAGCAAACCTTCTCATCCGCCCACTTCCTCCACTGATCGTAACTTGCCAGCAATGAAGTACCTCTACCACCCAACACAAAATCAACTGAGAAAAAAAGGAGAAGGAGGAAAAAAAATTGTCAATAACTGAGTTGGAATCAACTCAAACTTTCTATGTAGCATAAGGGAATTAATGTGTATCAAAAAATTTAATGAAAATTGGGGATGATTCTGGAGCCATTTTTTGGAAAAAAAACTATAGCCTTGGGCATTTTAAAAAATTGGCTCATTTTTAAAAATGCTCATAACTCGAAAAATATTTGTTGGAATTAGCTCAAACTTTCTACACAGCATAAATACATCAATACGTATCTGAAAATGTAATAAAAATTGGGGGTGATTTTGGAGCCATTTTTTGGAAAAAACCATGGGCTATAGCCTTGGGCATTTTTCAAAAATTGGCCCGTTTTTAAAAATGCTCATAACTCAAAAAATATTTGTCGGAATTAGCTCAAACTTTCTACACAGCATAAGTACATCAATATGCATTAGAAAATGTAATAAAAGTTGGGGGTGATTTCGGAACTATTTTTTTGGAAAAAACCATGAGCTATAGTACATGCTTGCTACTTTTAAAAAAGTTATAAATTTTGTTAGAATCAGTTTAAACTATCAACACAGCATTAACATAAATTATATTATTACATAAAAATGACATAACAAAACTGATTTAAAATACACATGCAATAATGTAAGAGAGACTTATGCATAAAACATAATTTTGTGGTTTGATACTATCGTGACAAGATTCATTTCTACCAACGTTATGACAATGAGGTTACACAGCATGAAGATAACAAAGGGGCTACCATAATACCTTTCAATGGCTACCACAATAATACCTCCCATTATGAGGAAGATGAATGGATCAATACCAACAATGACTCAAAATGAAGGATTGAGAATGCACGCTTAGTTATCACTAATCAAAAATGTAGGATTGGAGGATAAAGCTGATTTCAATAATATTAAAAAAACTTTCTCATTAGTTATAAATTCAAATTAATAATAACAATAATTATTATTGGTCCGGCTCATTTCTTACTAATCATAGTTGTCCCTCCAGCCAGTCCGGCTCTTGTTCCATGATAGAAATCATCTACGGCGACCGTGCCCATAAAAGGCAACTGCATGTGAGTGTGTGTATCTATTCCGCCAGGAATGACAAATTTGTCAGTTGCATCAATTTCCCTAACTCCTTCAACTACACGAAGATTGGGACCCACTTCTCTGATAAAATAATTAATATTTTAATTAATAATTTAATTATTTTTTCTCACTGGATTTTCCCGTCAACCACATAAACGTCAGCTTTAAATTTCTGGTCGGCATTGACGACCGTCCCGTTCCTTATCACGAGTTTACCTTCAGTGAAATTGAACTAAAATGCAGTGTAAAAAATTAATTAAAATAAGTGAACTCACAGCCATTTTTTGCAAAAAGAAAATGCGTGCAACCAGTTGAGCTCCACCCACGCAACAAAATTAATTAATGTGTAGATATTAATAGGCGTGGTCTAGTTGTGGGTGGGGCTGGTTAAACATGGGTGCTCTGTGGTCGCTTCTCTTTGGAAGAACTTTGAGCATAAATGGAGAGAGCTACAGAGTAGTGAGACGGATAGGAGAAGGAGGTAGTATTGTATAAAATATTGGAGCAACTTTTAGTCTCTTTTCTAGGATTCTCTTACGTTGATTTAGTCCGAGGAAGAAACGGAGAGCAGTTTGCGTTGGTAAGCACCGACTGTTGCTTGTTTTAGATAGAAAAATTGCTGGTCTGCAGTTGATTGTAAAACCATAATTTATTATTAATTACAGTCTAGTAGATCGAGTGATGTTTAATAAGAAAAAAATACTCTAGTTTTTTCTAGTTCACTATAAAATAATATAATTTTTCTGTCTTTAGAAACAGTTGCTGATACAAGTGGAAGAACAGAGAGAGTCCGTGGAGAGAGAGATATACATGCATCAAACGGTCACTCACCCTAATGTACTCCAACTGGTCGACTCACAGATAACAGAGCAAGGGAATGGAGAGGCACGGGGACTCCTCCTCTTTCCATTTTATCAGGTTCGCCTTTGCAAAAGATTAATGCTATCATAATTATAAAAAGAACACCCTGCAGTTTAATACAATAACTGGCAAATACTTGTCTCAATTAAAAGCATTACCTTTACCATAATTGAATTATAAACTATACAGGTAGATTGTTTCATATTTAATTAAAATTTTAAAAACATTGAATTATTTTATCTTTTAGTATGGGACGTTAGAAGATGAGATTGAGGCTAGCATGTCCCGTGGTCGTAAGATCTCAGAGGAAAGGATACTGAACCTATTCCTCTCTGCCTGTCAAGGACTCCATGCACTTCATACCAGTGGTAACGAAGGACTAGCACACAGAGACATTAAAGTATTTATTATTATTATTATTATTATTATTATTATTATTATTATTATTATTATCATTATTATTATTAAGTACAATAGTTAGAAACAAAACTGGTTAAAAATGCATACACTTAGATGTAGAAAAATATAGAATTTAACATGGAAAGCAAATTTATAATATTATTATTATTACATTATTATAATAGTAATATTAATAGCATTATTAGTAGTAGTAGTAACATCATATGCTCGTCTGCTTTTGATTATAATTCTTTTGTATTTTTATATTAGCCTGGTAATTTGCTGTTGAGTGACAATAAGGAGGAGCTTGTGATAATGGATCTCGGCAGTGCTGCTTCCGGCCAGGTCACAGTTAACGACAGGTGGGCATTAATAAGAATACAAAGATGCTTGCGTACTGAATATATATTAGATATTATTAATATTACAAAGAGACTGTCATATATAATGCTTATAATATTAGGAAGGAAGCCATTGCCCTCCAAGAGCACTGTGCTCAGACATGTACGGCAATGTACAGGTAAGTGCCTATACCCAATAACAAGAGTAGATAATAATTAGAGGAGAGTGTCCTACTGTGCATATATCCCCTGCGAATGTGACTCTTCAATTCTACGCCGTGATGAAGCAGACCCTATAGCCAGTAGGACACTCTCCTCTAATTGTTATCTACTCTTGCCAATAATCAGTGATTGACTTTCATAAATTATCTCAGAGCTCCAGAATTATTTGAAGTTCCCTCTCAATCTGTCATTACGCTAAAGAGTGATATATGGTCTCTCGGATGCTCCATCTATGCAGCTGCCTTTGGTACGTATTATGTATGTATGTCTATGCTTCATAATTTCATTCTCGTGTGTGTCTATATGGTGGCATAGGAACGAGTCCGTGTGATGGATCTGCTCTGTCGGCAATGAGTGGTCGTATCATGTTCCCCAAGAACCAGTAAGGAGAGAAGGAGAACAAAATAAAATAAATTACGATAAAAATATTATTACAGACTATAGCTTGCTCCTATAGTGACGCACTAAAGTAACATCATTAGTAATATTTTGTCTCTTTTTTCAATTAGTTCTTATTCGCTTGAGTTCTGTAATCTCATTACGTGGATACTTAAAGTGAACCCTGAAGAGAGACCGACTGTACAAGAGGTAGAGCAACTCATTGGTACTATTCTCTCTAAGCAGGTTACTCCTCATGGAAATGTATAACCAAACACCTGTACACTAGCAACTTCTATTATTATTATTATTATTATTATTATTATTATTGTTATCTCATCATAAATGCTATTATTATTATATATGCATCACTACTAAAATATAATATTTATTATAATAATTAGTCTTAAATCGTATAACGTATTCAACGTCAAAGCTGGCATGCACAGCTGCTATAATTAACTATTATAAATAAAAAACAAAAATAACAACAATAATAATAATAATAAAGACGTGAGACTAATACAATTTTAAAAAAGCAACGACAACACTTGAAACTATGTCTGGTTATACATATATATATATATATATAATAAGTTATCATTTTTTCTGTTGCACTTTAATTTGGCGAAGCACCTTTCTCCTTGAAGTATTTGGCTAAGTAAGTAATGGCACTGATCCACCTGTGATGAGGAATAAAATAAAAACACTCCAGGCTAGAAATCAACAAATAACAATAAAAATCAAATGCATTAAAATACCATATTTATTATTTTGATAACTGATGAATTCAACTTAAATTTTGCATAAATGAACTAAATATGCTTGAGCAAAATGGGTTCCAGTTTTAAGGTAAATGTGTACCGATTTTAATTATATAAATGTATTCTGTTACTTGTTCATTTCTGCCTCATCATGTGCCAACAGTTCAAACACTCTTCCTTCACAGTTAATGTTAAAGGTCCCGTTGTTCTTATCTTGTTTCGATGCATCAGCTGCAGATACCTCAATAACCTTTGCTAGATCAATAAAACTGCATGAAAGAAAGATAGAGAAGGATTATTCACAATGTGTAGATGTACTTTAAAAAAAGCAAAATTGCAAAAAAAATTTCAAAATTTCAATAATAAAATTTTCTCACAAAACATTAAGTAGAAGACATACCCTTGTGGTGTTCCTTCAGATTGGCTCTTGTAATAGTAAAGTCTACTCCCTTGATCCAAACGAAAGTATCTCCTCCTAAAAACGTTAGCCGTTGGTCCCTTGGCGCCTTTCTTAAACAACCACCCTTGAACCTGTACCACAAGGATTAACCACTCCCATAAACCACAACCACTCACCTTGAGATGCTCACGAAGCTTCTCGTCTTCTTGTTTCTTTTGGGCAGTGGAAGCCTCAAGTACTTTCACCTGTCATGTGACATCAAGTCATGTGATCACATATTCCTGGTCTACCTTAGCTTCGCTTTGTTCCAGTCCAGTCTTGAGTGTTCGTACTTCAGTGTTGAGCTCATCGTTGGTGATCTTGAGGGATTGATTTACTTCTTCAAGGTGACGAATAATGTCTTCTTTTTGTTGGAGCTGCCGGAGTAGTTCCTCCTTGTTGTGCTTCTCATTAACCGTGGTCTTGTGCTGTGGGGGGAAGAGAGGAAAAAAGTGGAAGAGAAAGAGAGAGACATTTATATAAAATTAAGGATGCATTAAACAACAATCTCAAGCAGTAGTAGCACACATAAATATAACCACATCTTTATATTTCAAGGACTGATGAATGCATTAAACACTCACACTTTTGCTTTCAGCTGCTTCTCTCAAATGCTGCTTTGATATAATAAATAAATAAATTAATAAATAAATGAATATAACTAACAGTTTCAGTAGAGGGAGATGTAGGAGGTATCTAAATAAAAATAAATTAATGAAAGTAGGTACATGTATAAATGGCTCACCTCATCGTCCTTGCCACCCAAAGCTTTCTTAATGGAGCCTAGTATCCCTCCTCCTCCAGTCTTCTGCCTGTCCTCATCATCTGCTGATTTACCAGCTTTCTCTAGCCACTTGTTGTATTGCTTGATAGTAGAGGAGGCAGCAACATGAGTGCCCTCAACTGCCTTCTTAGCATTGTCGTCCAACTACAGGAAAAATGACACACATACAGTACATGGATATCAGTTTGTTTCTTAAGCATTCATAATAGGAGACTTGTTTAAGCTTTGTGCTATAGCTAAGTGGATGCCCACTTTGCACAATCATTGTTGTTGAATTCTCTTTGAGATTGGTTTAGGAAAACTCCCTTTAAGCAATAGCTGTAGGTTACTAATTCCCACTGCTATGATAATGTGGCATTAGCTACTGTAAACAACATTGCATTAGAGTACATGTACATGTACATTAACCCTCCCCACTCTTTTGCTACTTACAGTTTCTCCGGAAGCAGAAACAATTACAAGAAGAGGAATACTACGAACTCTATATAAGGGAATAAAATAAACAGGCAGGAAGGGTGGAGTGTCATAGATAAAAAGAAAGGGGACAGTTACATACTTAAAGTCTAGCTTGAGTTTGTCAATTAGAGGGTGACCGTGAGGTATGGCAACCCAAGGCATCTGCTGCTCAGCCATGTACTGTATCATCTCTGTTCTAGAGCTAAGAGGAAGAGGAGAAGAACAAGAGACAGAGCAAGGGAACAAGGAGTCATTACAGAGCTTAAACCACATCAGTCCTTTACTTGTCGTTTGAGATATAAATCATTTCAAAAGATTTGTTGTTCTTCTTTAATGAAGTGTAGAACCTGGAGGAAAGAGAGGGGGGGGGAAAGAAAGGAAGGAGGTACAAATATTTGTACATACTATGATGACATCATATTAATCACAGATAACATACTCTAATAATTTTGGAAGGAATCTTCGACATGGGGGACACCACTGAGCAGAGAAGTAAAGCTAAGAAAGGGGAGGAAGAGGAGAAAAGAGGGAGTATACATGAGATAAGAGAGGAATAGAAGAGATAAAATAGTTAAATACACAGACAGCCCATATCAAAATTCAAATTATCGACCAAAAATGTCAACAAATAGAATCCACTGCTTACTAATTTCGTGCATGTTAGATAATCAGTGTCATGCACCATATCATGGAACAGGTAGCCAATGTTTACAATTTATAATTGAATTAAAGTACATGTATGTACATGAGGCTTGAGCAAAGAGTTTTAAGAATGGTGATCCGTGACTTAATTTAATGCTTTCGGTATGTTAATTCTTAAATCAAAAACAGTTCATTTTCCGATTTGTAAGCTTTGGTTTTGTGATGAATGCACAAAAAATATGCATTGGCTCTTAGAGGAAGTTTTTAATAACAAAAGTGAATCCTCCAAGCAGGAATGATGGTAATTAATATTTAATTGCTTTCGATAAATATTAATTGCTAACTAGACAATTGGTCTCGTAAAATTGTCGTTTTATAGCACAAATTCAACAACACTAAAATGCCTGCTAAAAGCAAAGCTTCAAAATTTTAGCTCTAAGCTGCAGTAATTCAGAAGATAATATGCTTATAGAACATCAATACTTGTAGCATACGGAGTGAATTTTAATATTAAAGCTTTATGCTGTTACAGTGCATGCTAGTCTTACCCCAATGACGTCAGCAGAATCAACTCTCTCATTCCCCACGCCCACATCATGACAGTCCACATACTGAGCATCAGGGAGCCATGTGTTCACAAGAGCAGCGTTTCTTCCTGGGCTGGTGGGCGGGGGAGACTGCTCCTTCGCTGGCTCATCAAACGGGTTAGCGCCTTGAGGATCAGTGAACGGCTGCTTATCTAAAAATATATTTAAAATGTAAGTTAATTTTTTAAAGTAAATACATAATTGGCTATTATATATAATTGTCGGCATATGTGATGTTGACCACACCCCTCTGGGGTGTTGTCTCTTTTTTCGGGAGAGACACACTTCTCCTCACCAGCAGGTCCTCCACCACTAGCTCCTGCAGTCACTCCTCCGAATGGCGGGCCTGGATGACCTTTCCTTCGTGCCTCGTCCGTCATAGGCGCTGATGCAGTAGATTCTCCAGCAGTAGTAGATGCTCCGGTGCCTTTGCTTGCTGTGTCGTTCTTTTTCCTCTGTGGCATTTCTTCATCGCAGGAATGCGGCTCGGAGCTGCTCTTTGTAGGAGGTGCTGATACGGCAATGGGCGTGGCTCCACAAGGCCCCTCCTCCTTTTTATTGCTCTCTTCCTTGCTGCTACTGCACTCTCCTTCCTTTGCCTTCTCTAAGTCTTCAGCCTTCTTGCTGCTACATTCTTCTTCTTTCTTCTTTCCTTCCTTGCTGCTACTGCATTCTTCTTCTTTTGCTTTCTCTTTGGTCTCCTTGCTGCTGCTACACTCCTTCTCTTCTTGTTCCATTTCTTTAGCCTCCTTGCTGTTGCTACACTCTTCCTCGTTCTTTCCTTCTTTGCTGCTGCTACTACATTCTTCTTTCTTCTTCTTCTTGCTGCTACATTCCTCCTCTTCCCCTTTCATCCCTACATTATCATTTGACAATGACTCGAGTTGACTTTCTTCTATTACACCACCATTGGAGGATTCTGGAGCCCCGCCTTCCATTAATTCATCCTTCCCATCTTTGACAATTTCCTCATTACCTTCCTTCTCTTCATCAGGTTTTTCTGCTTCAAAGATATTACCCTCGTCACCTTGTGTTTCCAGTTTATCAGTGATTTCATTCCCTTTATCAATGTCTAATAGATTCTCCATACTTTTATCTGAGCGAGGTGGTTTGACGGGTGGAGGTTGTAAACGTAACTGGCTCCGTCGTCGTGTCTCGCCCGTACCGAGGACGACAATCGATCTCAAAGGACCTATTGTGTTGTGTGTGAATGGGCGGGGCTCCAGTGAGAGGTGTGGTCACATTCTAACAGAAATGTCTTGCATGCACAGATTTAAAATTTTCGAGGCCATGGGCCAACTAGGAGGACACTTGCCATTACAAATGCAAGATATAAGCATAAGAAGTTAAACATTATTTTTAAGTGCCACACCCCTCGAAAATTTTAATTATTATTGATAATAATAAATTACCAGGTTCATTTTCTTCGTTCGCTGCTGGAGTTTCCTCATTCTCTTCTTCCTCAGGAGATTTGGGTCTACAAAATAAATATTTTGATAACTGGACATACTATACTGCTAGTACTACGCAAATAAATTTTGTGCATGTTAATTATGTGCTCATATTTTATTATAGTACTCTGTGTTTGTATAATAATCAAATAGTTACAATACATACTAATTGTCCTACATGAAGATATATTATATCATTTTTGAATCTTAAACTGCTACAATAAAATATTCGTGCTAATTTGGCATCGGTTAGCTAAACATGCCAGTGTTCATTGTTTGTTGATGCTGTGAGCTATGTTTGTACATGGAGGATCTACCTCATTCCAAGTGTTGCAGCTTCGTCAAGATCTTCATCATCAACGTCTTCATCGTCGGCATACATCACACTCTGCGCTGGATCAACTGAGCTGAATGTACTCTGCATGTCGTCATCACTATGAGGGAAAGAAAGAGAGAGAAATTCAGTGAGAGAGAAAGAGAGGGTACATGCATAATATGCAATACATATAGGAGTGGAAGAGAGAAGGGCAGAAAAAAATGACATTCACATCACTCACGTGTCTTTTCCCTCCTTCTGGAACTCGGCCTCTAATGTTATCCCAAGCAGGGACTTGCTGATCTTCCTAGAGACAGGCTTGAAATTCATTTCTAGAGCATGTCTGATGAGAGAGACAAAGACACACAATGCATTTAATTTTTTAATTAATATCAGGAGCAAACCTTGCTGAAGGTATCCCTGCATACTCTGCCATGTCACAGTTGAAGGAAGCAAGAATCTTCTTTCCATTCTTGTCCTCCTAACAACAAAGAACAACCAAAAATAAACAAAGACAATAGCAGACTTTAGATAAACTGATATAACACACAACACTTTGTCGCTAACGTTTTCAATGTAATACTTGTATTCCTTTTCCTCAAACTCCTGCTTCTTGCCATCCTATAAGGAATTACACAGATTATACAACTGCTACAAAGTCTGTAGGTGTGCTTCTGACAGTTGCACTACACATGTAGTATTGTGTAAGCTATTGAAGTGTTAGTATAGATAATAGGAGCTGCTTCCTAATTCTGATACTATAGCAAATAGTGTGAATATTTTAATATGATGCATAAGATTAAATTCCTTGTGTATTTGACACTAGAATCAGCTATTATGAATCCCTTATCAAAAGGTCAAGGAAAGTGTAATGAGTATTGAGTATAACTTGAAGTCATTCATGATTTATATGGGAATAGCACTTGTAGGGTTTATCCCAGGAGTGTCTGTGTGGTAACATCAGTAAATGAATAAATAGGCTTTTATTCATGGGTCATTGCTAGTTTCAAAATGATGAAGCAGAATGTATGGGCTATGGTTATTGTTTTTAAAATGCAACAATGGTTTTAATACTGCTTGACTTAATATCAAACTAAACCACAATGTCAATGACAACTATAAAGTTCAATGATGATATGTTTGGATAGTATTACAATAATTATACACTTACTCTGTAGAGCGTGACAATCAATGAGGCTGAGATTGGTGGATCAAAAACAGCACGACCATCAGCACCATTAGGCCCTCTATCCTCAGTAACAACAAACTCAACCTATTCAATGAAGAGAATCTAATTTCTATTGTGCTGTAAAGTTTATTAATGATTTTAAAAAATAATTAATAATAAATAAAAATAATAATCACTTACATCCGACGATTGGACTCTCCTGTGACTTCTAAGCCAAATTACCCTCAAACTTCCAGGACGCCTAGAAATAGATGAAACAGGGGTCATAAAGAGAAGAGATAGTTTGAAGGGCAGCCCCTCCCCTTCCACTGGTAGCAAAAACTCAAAAGTGATCTCAAATAGTTCCCTATCTGACCAAACTAATCCCATCTCTCCCCCTCTCTCAATAGCGCGTATGCATGTAAGTGATCTATTGGTGGTTGCTAATATCTTTGCTTGAGTGTATTGAAGCTAATTGACTCACCATGTCCCGTTACAAGTCAAGTCGATATACTCAAATGTCGAGGTGAAACGAAATTGGGTAGCGGACTTGCCAGCCCTCTTGACTTTACGTGCAAATCTTTTTGCCATGATGTGCTGTGTAGCTCGTCTCCTGGACTGGGTACAGGGACAACTGCGTCTTTTTTAAGCTGGAAGAGAGACGCCCTACCTCTTATCACTCTGCAGCAAAGATAATGAATTTAATTTTAATATTGTAATTAAACACCTTTTTTGGTGACAAAGATGGCGGATGTGAAGAGGGTTAGAACCATTAAAATCAAGACTGGCGTAGTGAAGAGGTATTTGTTGAGTCTGCAGTGGCTTTTATGTTTCTTTATTTAAGGTTGTCGAAAGAGAAGAACATGTACATCAAAGAGGCTGAAAAACAAGAGGAGAAAATCCAGAAAATGACAGAAGAGGGTCGCGATGAATATGACATTCGTAAACAAGTATATAACTATTAGTATTATCACTTATTTTATTTTATTGATTTTAGAAAGAAGTGCTAGCAGAGTCACACAGTATGATACCAGACATAGAAAGACAATTAGAAATGGCACATAATGAATTATCGAAATTACTGGTGATCCTTCTCCTCTCCTTCCCCCTCTCTCCCTCCCCCTAGACTCTTTCTCTTCCTCTCTCTCTTATCTCTTCACTTCCTCTTTCTCTTATCTCTTCACTTGTATGTATTGCTTATATATCTTTCCCTATCCTTAATTTTGTTTACTCCAAGAGGTTATGGGATTTGCTTGAATTTACAAACACATAATGTAACCAGCTTTGATAGTTGTACTATAGCTATTTCTCTTGTTCTGTTATCTTACCGGTCACTCTCTTTAGGAAACAGAAACTGATCTTGCTGACACGGAAGAATACAAGGTTGCAACTGAGCTCTTAAAAACTATAGCAGTTTGAATGAGAAAGAACATAATACAATACAAAAATACATATAAATAATTGTGATAGTGTCTAGTTAGTAATAATAGTTAATTAACCATCATTAATGAAGTTTTGATTTTAACCCTTTCTCTGCTGTTTTCTGACCACGTGCGATCACATTTTCGCTCAGTATGAAGAGAAAACAAAATAAAAAGGTAAATAAGCCAACATATTGACTACAAACTTTCCTATTGTATAGCAATCGGCTGTTTTAGAAGGAAAGGGATCACGTGGTGGTCAGGATCCTGGCCTAGGCCCCCCTCCTGCTAAAAAGAAGCCATCTGGTCTCTACAAGCCTCCAACACATGAAGAGCTACAAACGCTCAAAGAAACGGAGTCATTGTTTAGGACAAACCTCATTAAACTACAAGTGGGCCTGATTAATTAATTTGTGGGTGTAACCGTAATTAATTAATTATTATTATCATTATTGTAGATTACCGAATTAATTTCTGAGGTGAAGCCAAATAGCTCAAAAGAGGCGAGTGAGGCTCTTGAGACGTTTCTTCATAAATTAAAATCAGAGCTCTCATCTATAAAGACTACCGAGCGTTTAAAGGTATAATCATTATGCTCCAATGATGTTTTTATGCATTTGATGTGTTTATTTTTAATTGTTTATGTTGGCTATACAAGGTTTCCCATGGGATCTCTTGTGCAGCTTCTTGTCATTGGATTGTCAAGTTGCTAAAAAATTGGGCTAAAGTCCCTGTACTATAGTACAGGGTCTTTGACCAAATTTGATCAAAAATGATTAGGAGAGAATTCTTGATTTTTATAGTTTTTTCTGATCCATATACATGTTCTTATGTTGTGTAGCAAGTTTGGGCTGATTCCGATCAACATTGGATTTTTTTAAATTTATAAAGCTGCTCAAAAATTGGGCCAAAGTCCCTGTACATATAGTGCTTTTCAGTTCATTTAGCATGCTTCCTGCCTCTATATCTCATTATGTAGTTTTATGTCTTTTTAGTTATCTGAGGGGCTGCGGCTCTTGCCAAAGATGATTAAGTATCCGTTAAGTTTCCCTCCCTCACCCAATATTAAAGGTCACTTTGAGTTCTCACCTCCTTCAAAGATAAAGGTCACCGGGAGCTACCTCCTAGAGACAAACCTGAAGACATCTCCCAATGTTAACCTAACCGTTGAGATACCACGAGTAAGAGTATGGTATTATAATAAGGCTGTCAACTTAGCATGCTTTATGAGAAACCGGGAGAAGAAAGAGAGAGAGCATATAGTAATTATAATATACGTAATACTTGTAGGAATGTCTTCAAGAGAAGGATTACATGAATTATCGTGTATTCCACAAAAGAGCTCTTTATCTCTCGATTATTGCCGGCCATCTCATCAAGAAGAGGAAACTGATATCGTCTCTGGATTTCACTTATGATCTCAACTATCCTCTACTCCCAATACTAACACTGACTCCTAAAGGTATGATGATGACACTAATAATAGTAATAAGTAGGAATAGCAAGGGATATACAGTAGGCTATTTTTATCAATGGAATTAGTACATATGAATCTAATTTGTATGTGAACTGCTGTATTTAGTTTATTTAAAATCTTTCTTCTTTAGACTCCAGTCAGTTTACTGTGTACATTCACACTACCATACCAGCTGATACCTTCCCATTGACAAAGCTTCTACCAAGCAAGAGTAACGTACGTCGTTTCGCTCGACCATTTCCTTTTGGAGAGAAGGAGGAGGAGGAAAGAGAGTGTGATCATGAAGGTAGGCTAATCAGTATGACAATAACAGTTTTGAAAAAAAGGAGTGAGAGATTAATCATGAAAATGGTTTGTGCATTGTATTGAGTTTGCTGATGATTTTCATTCATAATGCTATGTTGTACTGTCATGATTAATTCTTACTATAAGACATGATAAACATTCGTCTCTATTTTCATTTTTCCCAGATCTTCCTCCTCTTCCCACTCCTCACTACAACTCTGCTATCCTCCTTGAGATGGGATCACGGGAGAAACACCTTGAAGAACTGTACTCTGCTTCTGCTGTTGACTGTCCCTCCATTACTGAGGCCACTCTATTGTGTAAGACATGGCTGCACCAGAGAGGCCTTGACCAGGTTATTATTATTATTATTATTATTATTATTACTATTATTATTATAAAACAATAATTAATACATGTAGAAAACTAATCTTTAATGCTACATTCAGTTATTCACTATGTTTATCATCATTCTTATTGATCTACTCTGTGATATAATAACAAAGTATCATTGTATGCATAGTTGGCATACACTATTGTCTTTTTATTATTTTAGGGTTATGGTGGATTCACTGGCTTTCATGCTTCAATGGTTCTGCTATATCTCCTGAGACAGAGGAAACTGAATCATTTCATGAGTAGCTATCAAGTTTTTAGGATATTCCTACAGTTTCTAGGTAACGTACGCCATGTTTATGTGTGATCTTGTTAATCTTGGCAACCCTAGCCAACAGCAACTGGGACGAGAGAGGGATAAGCCTGGGGGATAGAGAGAACTATCCTTCACTGGTAAGTAGAAGATATCACATAATGCTTTATTGTCAAGCAGCAAAATTTTTGTGGATTTATTTTTAAATGAATTTTTCACAGAAATAAATTTTGTGAATTTGCAATGTTAGTGCCACACATTTAATGGTGATTGAATATTTATTGGAGCTTTAATTTTGCGGTTGAATTTGTGAAAAGTTAAGCTCCTTGAAGATAAAGCGCTATGCTGTACGCTATTCGTATACTTTTGTATTTTTTAGCCATCAATAGATGAGTTTCATTCTTCATTTCCCATTGTCTTTATTGATTCTTCTGGTTACCTAAATCTAACAGCACACACTTCACTCCATCAGTATCACGCCCTCAGACAGGAGGCTGGGCTCTGTCACGCCCTCCTTGACAAATCAGACGGGAGCTTTGGAAGCGTGTTTTTGAAACCCGTTAAACCTGTTTTGAAATACGATGCATTGTGCAAGTAAGCAAAGGGTAGCGTGTGTACATGTTATTTGAACTGTAAAACTATATGCTTTTTCTTTAATTATTCAGGTTTGATCTCTCTGCTGGTAATATAAAAGGCTCTCCATTGTTTGACAGAAACAGTGACAAGTGGGAGGAGCTTGTTTTTGATTTTGGTGGGTGGGTATGGCCAGGAGTGCTTGATGAAGTGATGCGTGTAATTGATAAAGGATTAGAGGGACGTGTACAATTGATTAGTCAATTACCAGTCAAGCGGAACAAAGTAACACCTTGACATTATCCATTTATTTATTTTTAATTATTAATCTATTTCCAGTGGGCAGTTACAGCTGTCTCCCCCACGTTGGCTGGCTCTGATGTTACACTGGGTCTTATATTCAATACTGAGAGAGTCTATGAGCCTCTTATAATGGGACCACCAGCAGACAGCAATGAAGTATATACCATGTACATGTAACACTTATTTCTCATGGATACTACCTACTTTTGCTGATGGTTTGTTTCATAAAGTTAAATTCCATCAAAATTCATATGCCACATCTTGTGTGTTCTGTATTTTAGCTTACATGTTAAAAACTCTCTCTTAGGCGTCTACTTTCAGAAGTTTTTGGGGTGAAAAGTCAGAGCTGAGAAGATTTCCTGATGGGAGTATAAACGAGGCTGTGCTCTGGACAGAGGAAAAAGGAGAGGGGGAGAAGAGGAACGTCCCACGTCTGATCATTGACCACATTTTGAAAAGACACACCCATATAGAGGGTGTGGTCTTAACACACAACACTCTCGACTCTCTATTGAGTTCTGGAAAAGGGTATGCTTTTTATTGTGATAAATTATCAATGATATGAATGATATGTGTTTTGTATGTTGTGATGTGTTTTTCTTTTAGCTCAATAGATACAAGAGAGGGCGTGTCTGTGGGTGTGGTCAATGCTTTTATTGAGTTAAGTCGTGAGTTGCGTCAGTTAAAGGACCTCCCACTTGAGATAGCAACTGTCAAAGGAGCTTCACCGATATTCTGTCACACTGAGGTATTTAAGAACTGGTTTTTTAATTATATTTTCATTCTTTCTCTCATAGGTACATCCTCCTTTACCATGGAATGGCAAGTCTTCCTCTAAAGTCCGCTCCCTTCCCCTCCCTCTCGTACAAGATCACTGTCTCCACCCGTCCTGTGACGTGACCACGCCCACCCTCACCCCTTGTTTCCATGGTAACCCACCCACTCACTACCCGTTCACTAATTACCCGCCTCCCTTGCAGTTGTCATGGAGATGGAGGCTAGCGGGAAGTGGCCCGACTCACCGGACGCCATTGATAACATTAAAACAGCTTTTTATTTATCAATATCCAGTTCACTTAGGAAACAGCATGGGCTTATTACAGGGACTTCTAAAGACTATATTGACATACTTAAGGTACTCAGTCAATTAAATAATAATGAAGTTTTATCCAAAAGTTTTTATGTAGTTATTTTTAAAATTATTTTAGTTGGTAGTTACAAATGTCTCAAGTTTTATTTAAGTTCTTTATTAAATATTAATCAAGTTTTATCTTGCACATGTACATGTATGTACATATGTACATGTATCTACTTTTTTTACCAGAAAGGGTATGTTTTTCGTCTCACTATATTCTATCTTCGTGAGGTGAGTATACTGAATGATTTGAGGACTCCACAGTCTCTCAGTAAAGCAAAGGGACTGGAGAAGGACTGCATTAGTAAACCACTACTGGTATCAACTCTCAACGGGTAATCCATAAAAATGTGCACATGTAATATACATGATACATGTACTTGTAATACTATTTTTATTATTTTAATGTTCCTTGTAGATTACACAATCAGTTTCCTGCTTATAGTCTTGGGACTCGTCTCTGCAAGAAGTGGGTGTGTTCTCACCTTCTGACCAATCAGATTCCAGACGAGGCCGTAGAACTTCTTGTTGCTCATTTGTTTCTTCATCCAGGCCCTTACCTGGTTCCTGGGTAAGTAAGGGCTGGGCTGACCCTGTAATTAACTGTTAATTATTTTTTAATTATTCTATATTATTTTATGATTATTCTGTATAGCTCTTCAGTATGTGTCCTGCTGAGGTTCTTCGATCTTTTACTGTCTCATGACTGGCCACGTGATCCTCTCTTAGTCGATCTTAATAATCAATTAAATGGTATGTTTGATATTAGTATTATTATTGACTTTGCCTTTTTTATAGACGAGACCACATCGGAAATTATTTCTTCTTTTAGTAAGGATAGGGAGAGACAGCCGCTCATGTTTATAGCCACACCTCTTGACCACACCTCCAAGCTAACTAAAGACAGACCGTCTGCCCCGGTAATGGGTAGATTATTGACGCTGGCTAAAGCATCCCTCAATTTACTGACCAATCAGATTGACTCCCTCCAAATTGGGCGGGAATCTCCTGACTTTAAGGCAAGTGAGATTTTTAATAATGAATTAAAATTATTATTATTTTAATAGCAAATATTTCGTTCTCCTCTCACTGATTATCACCTTCTCATTCATCTTGACGAGTCAAAAGTCCCACGCCTTCAAACTGGTAGAGTGTCGTCAGTGGATGGTCACCATTACTCTCACCTCCCGATAGTTCAGTTTGATCCGGTCCATTTGTATGTACAAGCATTAGAAGTTAGTCATTAATAGTATAAAATAGCTGAGAGAGAATTGCACTTTAAAATGTTTTTATGTAGAAAATTTTATTCTGATCAAAAACAATAGGTGCTAAAAATCGGGCCAAAGTCCCTAATAGTTCAGGGACTTTGGCCATATTTTGCCTAAATTGAGGAGAGAATTCTCCATTTTTAATAATTTTTTCTGATACAGATATATGTTCTTATGTTGTGCAGCAAGTTTGAGCTGATTCCGATCAAAATTGGATTTTTTACAAATTTTTAAAGTTGCTCATAAATCAAGCCAAAGAGCCTATACTATAATTATGTACTATAATTATATTACATTATGTGTGAACATTTTATTAAATAAGTTGTTGTTCATCTTTAGTCTGCATACTCTAATCTGGCAATGTTCTTTTACGACAAACATGGTGGAAGCGTCATTGGCGTGCTCTGGAAACAAGCAGCTTTCAAGCCACACCCATTTAAAGTAAACCACACCTTCTCTTTATCATTCAATTTAATTTTTGAACTTTAATAGCCGAATGGCATGCAATGTCGTGTAACAATCAGTAAATCAGAATCAAAGGTATAATAATAATATTAATTATGCATGATTATTAATTAGTTGCTATAGTTACTCGTTGCACCTGATAAAGAGGTGATAATTAGTGACATGATGATACTAGGAGATGGACTTGTAAGAAATATCGAGGTGCTTGAAACTCGTCCTTCTTGAGGTGTGATCTTATCTTCTTGCTGTTTTGGTGGTACTGATGTACAGGACTGTAAAAGATATAAATTTTGTACGCTAATAACATGAAAATTATTTGTGACATTAAATATCAAAATTATTGTTTGTATTAATTAATTAATTATTAACCATTGTTTCCTCGTATGAAAGCATCTCCATACTTGTTCTTAAGCTATAAATAGATATTAGAGCATCAATTTTGAAGGTCAGGCAGTTCTTATACCTGTCCTCCTATGTACTCTTCAGTCTGTTCAAGAGCTATGTTCATGTAGCCATCGAGACATGCTAAGATACCTATCGGAGATCACGTGATTTGTTCTCTCCAAATATGCAGGGTCCTACCTCTGTAATCTACCCCGGAATTGAGTTTGACGACTACAGGACGACCAGCTATCTGCTTTAGGAAATCGTTGGGAGTTCTCTTTCTGCTCATTTCTACCAAAAAATGAAAAAAAAGAAGCGTATAGATATAATATCAACACGTGGGTAGACCACACCTTATTAATTATTAAGAAAAATACCCAATTTATGCCTATAAAAATTAATAACAATTATATTTTTATCATTATTTTTTTGCTTGGGCTTATTTTCCCAGAAAAATTTAGTGCGAATTTTTTCCGCGAACATTTTAGCGGGTATTTTCCCAGGAATTTTTTTAGGTAAAATAATTTTGCTTATTATTAATTTTTGCCACTTTTTTGGTGGAAATTTTTTTAGCTGGGATTTTCCTGGGAACATTAATTTAAGCGGGTATTCTGCCGAGAAAATTAACAAGAATATCCGGAAGTATACGTAAACAACGTGGTATTGTTTATTTTCAATAAAGGTGTGGTCATGTCGTTATAGCAACCACCATACAAATGGCCACCGTTACCACCTCCCCTATCTCTCCTCGGGTCGACTCTTCTTCGCCCTTAGCCGAAGAGAAGAAGATAAGAGAGCTTACAAATCAAGGAGGGGATGCTCTAAAGTCTGGGCAGATGAAAGAGGCGCTGTCTCATTTCCAAACTGCTCTGAGCGTATCAGAATCAATACCAGACAACCCAAGACTCAAGCTATCTTGTTTATTGAATACAGGGGCAGCGTTAGTTACCACAGGAGAACACCAGAGAGGCATATCCCTCCTCCAGTCCGCCCTCTCCTTGTTAGACTCGATCCCAAACAGACAAACGGATCCTCATACCCTTGAAAACGGTATCTCATCAAATGGAGGAGACCTTACATCGAACACATCACCTGACCTCACCCGTGGTGACATATACTACAATCTTGGTCTAGCGAATGACTCCCTGGGGGAGTTCTCACTAGCGTCCACCCAATTAAAGCAATCTGTTGATTATTATGTAAAAGCTGGAGCCTTTGCTTCTGCTGGTGATGTTTTTGTTGTCATCTCCTCAAGAGAGAAAGAGCGGAGAAATTTTAAAGAGCAAATCACTTGCTTGCTCTCAGCTCAAAGGCTTTACCAAGATTCAGGGGAACAGAGTAAAGAAATAATGACTCTGACTGATCTTGCAATCGCTTATCAGACTGGAGGAAAGAGAGAGGAGTGTATCCAGTCACTAACAAGAGCTAAGATAATGGGACTCAGACTGGACGATCCTAAAGCACAGAGTAAGTACTTTATGAATAATTTATGATAATAAATGATATAATAGTTTGAATTTTACCTCATTAGTTTCCTTGTTAATTTTAATTTACATCTTGTTAATGCCAATTATCAACTCAAGATGTGTGAAGAAATTGTACAATTATTTCTCTCTCACTCTCTCTCTCTTAAGGTCAATTGTATACACGATTAGGACTAGTATACAGCTCTTTAAAATTATTCTCCGACGCCATACAAAGTTTTGAGAGAGCACTACCTCTTCTAAGACTAGCTATCAAAGACAGAGAGGGACAGCTAGAGGAGGAGGCGCCATTGCTACAGAATATAGGAGCAGTGTACAATGAAATGGGACAGTACGTGGAGGGAATCATGTACCACAAGACAGCTGCTAGCCTATACAGTCAGTTATACATCATTATATTACATGTATGCTATAGACATGTACATGTACATGTGGGTATAGTTAGGTACATGTACATACACTATGGTGAATGGGTTTGTGACTTTGTTTATGCATAGTTGAATTGTTTTCTGCTTATAGATCAATTAGGGCAGCCAGTCAATGAAGCAAAGTGTCTGTGTAATCTTGCTCTCTGCCAAACTCAATTACAAGAGTATCCTTTAGCCCACCAGTCCTTCACTACAGCACTGTCACTGGCGCAATCAGAGACAAACAACCCACTGGCTTTCCAAGCTCTCGAGGGACTTGGGTCTCTGTCTTATCAGACAAAGAACTACGAGGAAGCTAGAAGATGTTTCAATGAAGCTTTGGAGCTCTTGGATTCAATGAGAGGCGAAGACACAGGACTAGCAAGAGAGAGGGTCATGGAAAAGCTCTCGCACGTCACGGAAACACTACAAAAAGGACCAGAAGATTTAGAAGAGGCTGACGCTAACTTCAAGAATAGAGAAAGACAGCAGTCACATTCAAGACATGACTCCCAATTAATGCCCATCCCACTGACGCCAAGAAATACCGTGAGGTTCTCAGAGGACAGGGTCTTCTCTCAATCGCATCAAAACTCCACCACACCTCATAAAACCACGCCTCCTTACGTATACCTGACTACACCTGGTTTCACTCCCAGTCAAAGACCAAGATCAATAAACGAGACTAATCGATCGTTACACTCGTCCACTCTAACCTCTCTCACTGCCACAAGTGACAGCTCACTATTAAGTAACAGCGTCTTTGAGGAGCCAAACCACACCCAATTTGGCTCCACCCATCCACAAGGGGTGCTACCCACGTCTCCCGTGGTCACGCAAGGCTCTCTTGCACTTGGTCCTAACACTAAAGCTTTATATAGGGTAGAGAAACAAGAGGTGGTCGAAAAAAAGAAAAAGAAAGGAAGAACGAAATCACATCAGACCACACGCATAGTACCAATTGATCCATCCACATCCACGCCCATTCCAGACCGCACTCACAGTGCCCCACCCAACTCCACCCACTCGTCAGTTTGCAGGTTATTATGACATGGAAAAATATTCAATTAGTATCAATAAATTATCTCCTGTATCTATATCGCTTGAATCGGAACCAAAGTTGCAATATGTTGTTGTTGAATTGACATGTGAAGCCGTACTTCCATGAATACTCCCACTCTCTGTTGACTATCTTGAATGCAATGTCCTAAGAGATCGATATAAGAGCAGTTATAATTATGGCTCCATTTTAAAACAAGAAGTGTGCGTTTGGATTACCTCGTAAGGAGGTCCAGCGTGGAATTGCAAAACGGCAAAGTCCGGATTATCTTTGATTGGAGTCACTGTGTATGTCGGAGCCTGTGATTTATTAATAAGATCAGGATAAAATATCTAGAGAGAGAGAGAAATACATGCATAACAGTGTTGTGTCATTTTTAAAAATTATGAAGTTATTCTGTTTTTATCACATGTTTTGTAACAAGAATCTTGGAAAATATTCATTCCAAATTATGACCAATTAAGTGATAACAAGCGCAACAGGGTAAAAAATATTCCTATAATTGATTTCACCACCTTGCAAGTACAACTTGGTCATTATTAAGACTTACAGAGGTTCTCTCTACCTTCTAATGCTTCTAGATACCGTCTTTAGACGGTATCTCTATGTTCTCTTGCTGTTAAAAAGCTCTTAACTTTGTCCCATGTGTAAGCCGCCATTTTGCTTGCTGTGGCCACACCCACTCACGTAAAGGAGCGTGGGCGGGTAGTTGCTAAGGCTAAAAGTGTGAAAATAGGTGCAAAAAGGTGTAAAAAGGTGTGAAAAAAGATGTGAAAAGAGGTGTGAAAAACGTGTAAAAGATGTAAAAAGGTGTGTAAAAAGGTGTGTAAAAAGGTGTGAAAAAAGGTGTGAAAAACGGTGTTAAAAAAAGTGTGAAAAAAGATGTAAAAATGCAAAAAAGGTGTAAAAAAGTGTGAAAAAAAGGTTGTAAAAAGGTGTGAAAAAAGATGTAAA